GGGGGCTGGAACCGCCCGGTACCGGGGCCGCTGCTTCCCGAACGGCTGCGGGGGTAGCCGCCCCGCTGCCCCCCGGGGGGCTCTGCTGGGAGCCGCGTGCGGGGAGGGCCCGTTCGGTTTCCTGGGCGGGGCGAGGGGGGGCTTTGCCGTCCCCTTTTCTCCTGTTCCGGGGGTTCCGTCCGGACCCAGGGACTCACTCGTGTGTTCCCTTTGCTTTCGCAGAAGTTGCTCCCTTCCCTCTCGGCCTCTCTTGAGGACATCTTCACCCACTGGGAAAAGTAAGTGGAAGGAGGAAGAGTCTGTGCGATGCTGGGCCGCCTCAGCAGGGAGGATGCATGGCACGTGGCGCCCTGGTTTGCCGGAGTTCCCCATTGTTGGGGTGTTCCCGGTGGGAGCTGTGCTCAGCAGCCTGTGCTCCTGGGCTTTTGGGTTCAGACCGATTCGTTTCAGATATTAAAGGTTATGTTGGTTTCAAACCCCCTGAGGTTGGAGATAAGTTGTTGCTCTAGTTTTGAGAGGCTGCTGCTGTTCTTGCTTGGGGTTGATGCTGGAGGACTGTGGGGCTGAGACTTGGGCTTTACTGGCTTTTTTTTTTTTTCTCTCCCCAGTTTCACTTTCTGTTGAAAGCCACGTGCTTCTCAGGAATTGACCCAGGAGAAACTGAGCAGATGCTGAAATGCCAATGCTCTTACAGGGACTTAAACCTTGGTATAGATTGTGTATCCTCTGACTCAGAGGAAGTCCCTTGGGTTCAGCCTGTCCTCTCAAGCCCTGATGTGTTCATCCCAACCCCTTCCCACGCAGTTATTCTGCTGACTACCCTACAGGAAGGTCTGCAGTGTGGAGCCTTCCCATCAGTGGGATGCTCCAACACCTGCACCAATCCTGCACTCTCCTGGCTTTGTGGAGAGGCTGGAGAGCCAGAGACAGGCTATTGCTGGAGCTGGGTTTCTGTGCCTGTCTTGAGGGGTGCTGGAGAGAAGGTGCTCCTCAGTGTAGCTGTGGCAGGTTGGTGTTTGCTTCAGAGGTGTCTTCTGCTAGAAGCCCTCTTGCCTTGATGCTGCCCCAGTTCTTGCTCTTTTATCTCCATGATTTTCTTACTTGAGCAGGAGAAGGACTGGATCTAGGTGTGGATGTAGCAGTATAGAAACAGGTCTGCAGTTCCTCCTTGTAAGAGTTTAATACTGTCTTGGGTACTGATGGTGACCTTTCTCTGTGCTGGTTCTGCTGGGTGCTACAGCAAAGCCTTCCAGACACTGTTGCTTTTAAAGCTTGAGGAGCAGCAGGGCACCCACATCATATTTAAATCTTTCTCTGTAGTGTCACCCCTCTGTTGTGGTCCCACCCCACAGGTATGCCTGTTGTCTCTGTCCCCCAGGGTTACACCTGGTTTGGAGTGGTGTATTGACCAGTAGCTTTGTCCTGGAATGCTCCCCTTTCCATTGGTGTTTGGCCTGAAAATGTCTCTCCTCCAACTTTGCTGCAGCTCTTGCCCATCTAACCAAGGCCATCCTTGGTGTTCTCCTTCAGGATCTCCTATAAATGAACCTAAGGGTTGGGATTTGCAGTTCCTTAGGAGTGCCCTCCCTCCAGGGCTATGCTTCAGGATGCTGGGAGGGGTGGAATGGTGCCTGTGGGTTGGGGAAGCTGGAACCTGCTCAGCCCCAGGAGCAGCCAGAGCCCTCAAATGCCTAGAGCATGAAAAAAAACAACCCTCGTTTCCCTCATGGGGTGTCTCTGAACCCTTGGTTGCTCACAACAAGTTCTCCAGCAGTCTGTGTTGTGCTGTCAGCTTCCAGTGGATCAGGAAGGTGTTGGAGTGTTGTAGCTGCCTGTGTGGCTTTCCCTAATATTTTATTAAAGGGATTATTGCAGTAGTGAACAGGACTTTGTAATTGCAAATGTGCTTCAGCCTTGCCTGCTTGCAGAAAACTTGCTGTTGTAGCTACACTACTGAAGTGCTTTCAGAATTACCGGCCAAATTGTTACACTGATCTTATTTTTAAATCAGATAAATAAAATAAGCTAAACTGGCACAAAAGTGAGTAGTTTTGCCTCTGATAATTACATGTCTTGGGGCTTAAAATTATTGCCTGTGTGAGTCACACAGACGTGTGTCCAGCCAACGTTATCCTTGTAATAAAGCAAATGTATTGCCTGTGTTCTCATTTGAAGATTAAAGATAACTTTAGCCACATCATCTGTTCTGGTACAGGTAGGATTCCGAGCCTGGAAACATCTTTCTGCAGCTTAATGTTTTAACCCAATTGAACAGCTTAAGTCTTTAATGCTCATCTGTGGCCTCTTCCTCCCTTTCTTTCAACACATCTTCTGTAGGTCCAGACACTTTTTCTCTTAAATCTCCCTGCAACATGACTTTTCTGTCCGTTTGACCCCTGAGCCCAAGTTCAGATGATTTTTGCAGCCTTCACATTCACTTCTCTTGGCCTTGTGGAATACCAAGGCCTGTTTGGGAATCACTGCCCCATCCCTGGGACTGCATTTACTGACTGCCAGGCTGTAGCTGCCTCCTGGACACAGAATTTGTTCTGTAGGGTGCCTGTGCTCTGTGGTGTCCTCCTTGAGTATTGCAGAGATATGGTGCTCTCAGGAGGTGCCTGAGGAGGACTGGAGATGTCCCTTGCAGGACTGAGAAGTATTTCTTCTACCCCTGCAGAGCTGTAGAGGAATGACAGTGTGTGTCCTTAGTTTGGAGCCTGACCTGACAGTGGATGAATGAATGTATTCCAGTTTGTTCAATATTTTTTTTTCCCCTTGTTTTGACACAAATTCTCTTCCTCCAGAACTCCTTCAAAATCCAGGAGAAGAAAGGCGAGTGATGAGGAGGCAGCTATCCCAGAAAAAATCCGAGTTCCTGATCCTGTGAGCAGCTCTGAGAGCTCAGAGAAGGAAGAAGATGAGAAAGAGAAGGCGAAAGCTGCAAATGGTAGGAGCCTTTCATCTCCCTGGAGCTGACATAGAAGGGTTGGAGGCTGGTGAAGGAGCAGCCCAACTTACTTGGCTAGAGAAAATGCTTTCTAAAGTGAAGGCTATTCCCTTGTGCTCATAGAAAAGTAGGAAAACCAATTTAGCACCCCCTTCTTGTGGAGTTTCTGAGGAGCACAGATGTCTGCTGAAGCTAGAAAAAAACCTATTAAGATTCATTGGGGAGGGATAGGTGGTGTTGCTTGGATGAAGACTTGGGAACCTAACACTGTCCACTGTGGAGCACCTTCTGGTTGGTCCCAGGTGTCTATTGGGCCAACAAAGGCAGGTCTGTCTCATGCATGAGGGAAGGACTTGTTAGTTGGTCTGGAAAGCCAGAGCCCTGTGTCTGAGGTGGGGATAGTTCCCTGGTGCAGCTGATGTGGGAGGTGTTGGCTTGCACAGTCTAACAAAACCCCACGTGTCTGATACGTTTTGGCTCAGTCTCATCTCCTGTAGACCAGCTCTTGGAAACATGCAGATCTAGGCAGGTTCTTTGTCTTGGTGGCGGGGAGAAGGATGGGCTGGAGGAGTAAAGCAGTTGTCTGTCCCAAGGGCAGAGGAGTTGGGGCAGGTGTGGAGATGGGACCCTGCCCTGCCTGCTGGGGCCTTCCTGCAGACCAGAGGCCATCTCAGTGCAAGAGGATCTCACACGATTTCCCTGTGGCTCTCTCCTGTGCAGCAACCAGCCTTTCCCTGCCCACCAACTCAGCAGTGGTTGTAGACAGCAGTGAAGATGAGGACTCCTCATCAGAAGAGGAGACTTCAGCTGGAAAGGGTGCAGTTACGGTAAGGCAGTACTCCTCTTGGCTTTGAAGGGTGAGGGGACTCTGAGGCCACAGCTGTCCCAGACTCACTGACATGGGTAGAGTGGTGGGGCTGAGGTGGAATTCATATTTACACAACCCACCTATTTTGGCATTAGCCTTCTCTTAGATACCTGTCCCTCCCATGGGCTTTCCTAAAGAACTCCGTGACTTGCCCAGCTGCCAGTTTGCTCTTCAAGGTTTGTTGTGTCCGGTTTAACCCCTCATAGGCACCTAATTTCTTTTGTTCCCTGTAGGTGACCCCAGCTGTGGTGGGTGGCAAAGCTGCCAACTCCCTGCACTCTCCTCACAAACCTGCTGCCCCAGCAGGCAGAGCCGCGGTGCTCACTGCTCCCAGCAGGACTGTGCTCTCCAACAAGCAGCAGCCCAATGCACCAGTAGCTGCTGCAGCTCCAGCCAAAGCTGGGCAGAAATTGCCCAGTCCTGGGAAGTCTGGACAGGCTACAACAGCAGTGGCCAAAGTAGGTCAAAGCAAAGCACCAGTAGCGACCAAAGCAGCAGAAAGCTCCAGCAGCAGCAGCTCATCAGAGAGTGAGGAGGAAAAAGAGACGCCGGCTGCGAATGCCCCGGCTCCCAAAGTGGGTAAGGAGCCTGCAGGGTGGGGTAAATGCACATGTGCTCCAGCTTTGCTGTCACTCAGGTCTGGGCTGTGCCCTCAACCTGTTCCTTTCCAGTTCTCTCGCTGGAAAGCTCAGAGTGATGGTTGGGAGGCTGTGAGGATGCTGCAGAGCAGCCAGGTCTGGAGCTCTGTGGGATGGATCCAGCACACGTGCTCCCATTTCAAGCAGCAGACTGTGCTAAGATGTCTGTCTGGCAGCACCCAGTGCTGCGGGGTGGGAGATGACAGCAGAGCCTATCTGGAGGAGATGCAGTGCTGATACTGTAGAAGCTTTCAGCTCTTGGAAAAGGTACTGCAGCATCTTCTCTTTGTTCCCAGTTGCAAAGTGATTGAGTTTTGGTTTTGAGATCTTTAGGGAAGTGTCTCTTACTGCTTTGAAATGTGTGTGTTGGGAGGCAAGGGGGTCAGGATCACAGAAGCTCCCAAAAATTATCCTCTTTGCTCTTTTCCAGGGGTGGTCCATGCAGGCTAGTTGCCCCTGCATGAAGTAGTGTGTGGCTGGATAGCTCCCTGTAGGGTCAGAAGGTGGTCAGGAAGGATTTCCCACCTCTGCCTGCTCTTGGGGGAGTGGTGTTTGTGGGCCAGCATTTGTCTGGAGGAGCTGTTCCCAGCAGGCCACCGATGCTTTCAGCAGG